TTTTTTTTTTTTTTTTAATGTTTTAGACATTCCCTGTTGGCTTTCTACTCTGAAAGATGAGGATTTCACTAGTACACCATTCTACAAATCACACACTCCTCCTCACACACACCCTACCCGCGGACTAACACACAGACACCCCGAACTCCATACACGCACATACACACACACACACCGCCCCTCCACCCCCTGCACCACACTCCCCAGCCCCCCCCTGCATACCCAGTCTTCCCCTCCCTCCATCTTCCATGATGATTAAATAATAATTTGGGGTTATATTAATATTCAGTGTTTTCGTTATTCTGACTCTATAAATATTAATCACCGCTGAGCCATGTAGAGTTTTATAATTTCATTTACCTTCTTGTACAACTTTTTATTTTCTAAGTACCTATGATTAATTCATGGCTAGCCCTCTGCCAGAGTAGACATTTCCTAATCTCTGAAGGCCCTGCCAGATCAGTTGCTCTCTCTCAGCTTCGTTCTTTCCTGGAGGTGTCCCTCCTGACCCCTGTGCCCCCTGCCCTGCCCCCATCCCACAGCTGCTCCTTTGCTCTTTTTTTTTTTTTTCCTCAAGTAAATGAAATGACCGGATATCCGGAAGTGGGAGACTATGTCCTCCCTGCTGGAGTAGCTGAGGTTTCATTATCACCATGGAAAGGCCAGTCCTCCTGGCAGGCTGGGTGAATCATTTCTTCGGGAACCAGGATCATTTCTTGGGTACCAGGATAATTTTCGGCACCTCTGGGTCACTGCAAAACTGTCCTTTCCCGTTCGATTTTCAAATGCCCCTGCTGGTTAAAGTTCACTTGTCGTAATCTCCGGGGCTTCTGCTTGGCGTGTGTGCACATGTCTCCGTGTGTGTGCTCTCAGGAGCGGGGGATGAGACCGGCGCCCGCAGACCCATCTGTCCCCTTGTGCCGTCTGGCTGTGGGGGTCCCCGTCCTCCACATTCTGGCCTCTGTGTGATCCCGCCATTCCCATTATTTTGCTGTAAAGTCATCTTACAGGATTCTCTTTCCTCCACCCAGACCTATTTATTTCCGGGTTGGGTTTTTCGTTGTTGTTGTTTTTAAATTTTTTTTTCTTTTTCTTTTTTCTTTCTTTCTTTCTTTCTTTTTTTTTTTTTTTTTGCCAGCTCTGCACACGTCATTGTTTTAATCTTCTGTTAAAAGCTGGTCCCTTTCGCCCTTCAATTCTTTCTTTCACTCTACTCAGAATTCCCTTTTTATTAATGAGGTGCCCCAAACTAAATAGTGTACAGCTGCCATTTCACCCGGGGTCTATGGACTGGAACAAACAGTTCCCTGTTTTATAATGTAATACTTCTATTTATGCAGTCCGCTCTGGAATTGCTTTCTTACACCATTGCCTTCTGGGTTTCTCTCGTTTAATGCGTATTAGGAGTTATTTTTCCCCCTGAAGTGTATGAGCAACTTTAGTCTAGATGATAGACTTCCTTTCTGTATTTCAAAATCCTTTTGTATTGTCTTTGGCCTGAAGTCATGTTTTTGCTCTCCACCCTCCTCCCTCCCCACCCTGCGCCCTCCTCCCACTCGCGCTCCGGCTACGTCCGTACTCCTCAATCATGACAGAAGGAGAAATTATTAGGTAATATTCACATTGACATTAAAAGTAACTGGGTGCCCTTTCAGAAACCCCTTTATGACAACTCACCTTAAAATATATCCTCCCTCCCCCGAGGGATTGGCTTTTAACTTCTTGAAAGAATGTTTTTTAAGAAAAGGGACATTGTGGACCTCACAGAATGAAGACACCGAAGGTCATCAACTTCAAATTTATCAACACAGACTTGATCCTATATTCCCGGTTTTCTCTTCTCTCACGTAAGGGTCAGGACATTAATCTTCAGTGGGAAACGTCATTCGTGTAGCGTAAGGAAGCCTCGGGGAGTCTTTGAGCACCTTTTGGGGACTCTGCTTGTTCTGACTGTGAGCTGCATGTAACTGGTGTGCTGTCTAGAGTATTCTCTACTGGCCTCCTGTCAACATCTCATTAAAGGACGGTGGTCTTTCTTCCCTCCTCTCCTCCTCTGCTGTCCACGCACCAGAAAGTTTTACAGCAGAAATCCCTTTCTTTTCTTCTCTGAGCTCAGTCTGCTGTCCCCTTCTGCAGGTACCCAGACTTCCCTTGCTGCGGCTGGTGGAGAGAACACTAGAAGAGTTTCTTCCCGATGGTGGACAAACATAGCCTTTCAAATTTTACCTGTTCCCTTAAGTCAGTATGTTTTCCAGTCAGTCCAGCTTACTGCATAGTCTGCCAACCCAGGTGAATTTGGAAGTATGGAGAAGGAAACCCTGGAGGTCTCCGCTGCCCTTCACCTCTTTGTGGTCGTGGTCAGGGTTCACCCCTGTCACCGATCACGTAACCCCCAGAGAGGCCTCATGGCCAGACATAAACCATCTAGGTCCTGCCCTGCACCGGAGGGCCAAGTCTCGGTTGTTGGAGGTGCGCTCATAATTAGGCTACTGTCCCCTGCGTGGTCCTGCATGGGGTCAAGCTTTACCCTTACGTCGGTGGGTGAGCCACGTCCTGTATTGAATCATCTTTAACCCAGTGTGACAGTTTTGTGGTTATGCTTGCCACCCTCACCCCCACAGTAGAGAGGCAGGCAGACAGACAGACAGACACACAGTGGGTCTTCCCATTTAAAAAACGACTTGGAAGTACACAGCTCAGAGCAAAGGGAGTAACTTAAACAGGTGAGGTCTCCCCCCACCTCCCAGTCTCCCCTGGCCTGGTTGTGTGGTTGTTGACTTGAGTGTATGTTCTGCAAGACCAAGTAGTGTCTGGACTTTGTTGCGACTTGGTCTTCTCGTTTCATCCGCACAAGCAGGTAGAGGTAGAGAAAGCCCGTTGTTAGGTGCTGACACACTGGGTTATGTCTCTCAGTTCCTGTCGCTGGCTGTTTACTTCCCCTTAGTTGACCAGGAGCTCTTGAAAGATGGAAAGCGCTCGTAGGTGGGTCATGTGTAGGATCGGCTTCCCTGTTTGCTTATTAAAAAGGCACTTCTGGCTCCCAGGTAAAACTGTAGTTGATTTCACTCTATCGGTGCCCCAAGCTTCGAGGAGACAAGAGGCCCTTTGTGCTCCTGCTGTCCGCCTGCCTTCTCCTCTTCCTCCTCCTCCGTGTTTTTCAGTCTCACCCTTGCTTTCACTACTTTTGCCTTCACATAGTCCTAGATCTCCAGACTTTGCCGGGATATAATTGAACGGCTCTTGACCGCATGCCGACTGTGTACAAGACTGTGTGTGAGTGGGGGACGCCGCTGACGTCTCCTCTCATCTCCATGCGGATTCCCTGGTCGAGACGCAAGCCCAGGCATTCAAGGTGATCAGATGATGACTCAGTTCACAGAGGACACAACTGTTGGAGTCTAAGAGAATATTTTGTTTGGGGCGGAAGCTGGCATCCCCCTTTACTGACCCATCTTTGGCGCTCGAGGTCATGAATTCCTGGGGTCAGAAGGCAGGGGCCGGCCAAGTGATGACAGGGATCTGGTGACAGCCCGTACTGAAACACTCACTGGCTTCCCCTGATGGATTATTTTT